GCACAGAAAAAGCACTTTGGTTCCTGAAATTCATTCAGATAGAATGTAAGCGTGAGAATTCTACAGGATGTGGTCTTAGTGTGTGAAAACAGCCCAGATCCAATGGCAGGAACTTCCAGATGGAGATTGTTAGACACCATCACACCGCCTGGGCATCCTCACTTTGATAGCCTGGTACAAAATGCGCCTGGCGCCAGACGCCCCCCAATGGGCAAGCAGGACCTGAGCACAAGAGCAACACTCTCCCCTCCTGCGGTTTCCAGCTACTGGCATTCAGAACCATAGCTGCCTCCAGCAGAGCCATCCTGGCCAGAAGCCAGAGACAGCCTTTTCCTCCACGAGTGCCAGACAGCCCAAAGATGTAGCTCAGCACAAGGCAGTTAAGCCCCAAAGCTGCGGTCATATCCCTGGAATGACATTGTTATAATAAAACGGGACAAAGCCAAGTCACTTCAATGGAGCCTCCCTGGCCAGACGCAGTCTACCAGTGTCTTTCTGGGAAATGGGAAGGAGACTAAGGGTGGGGAGGGGCGTGCCAGGACCCCTTCTCCTCGCCCGGAGACCTACCTACGGACGAAGCATCCTCGTGGTCTGAGCTGGTGCAGCTCCAGTCGCTGTTTCCTCCTCCTCCCGCTCTTTCGGGGTCGCAGCTGCAGCCGGGAGACTCGCTTTCCTGGACCAGGCGCAGGTGGCGCTCGGGGGAGCCGCAGCCGTCGGGGAGCTCCCGAATTGGGGGGCGTTTCCAGAGGCGAGGGGGCGGCGGCGGAGGCAAGCGCCGGGCCAACGGGGGCTCCCCCGGCGCCGAGTCGTGCGCCCTAGGCGCGCCGGGGCTGGAAAGACCCTTCGGCGTCTCCTTGTGCGCCCCGGGCGCGCAGGGGCTGGACGGGGCGGGCGGCTCTCCTCCGCCTCCTTCTCCTCCCCGCCGCTGCAGCGCCGCCTCCAAGTAGACCACTTTGAACTTCTCCTCCTCCAGGGCCCGCTGGAGCCGCTGCAGCGTCCGCCGGCACCGGCCCAGCTCCTCCTCCATGGAAGCCACCGAGTGCAGGCGCAGCGCCGGCGCCGCCTCGCCGGGAAACTCGAGGCGCCAGTGGCGCTCGAACTCCGCCGCCGCTTCTTCCCCTTCTCCCTCCGGGTCCCCCATGGCTGGGCGCCGGGGCCGGATCGGGGCCTCCCGGGGCGGAGGGTCCCTTGGCGAGGATGGAGAGCCCCGTCCCCCGCTCCTTTGCGCGGAAGGTCTTCGCCCGTCCGCCTCCCCCGGAGCACAAATAAATTCAAACTTTCCCCAAAGTTTCCTCCTCCTCCTCCTCTCGCTTCGGGAGCTTCTTCCGCTCTCGGCGCCCTGGGCCAGCCCCAATCTCCGCCCGGAGGGATCCGCCCAGCAGGCGGGGCTGCAAAGGCCGGCCCAGGCTGCTGTCCCAGGCCCTGGTGCGCGCGCTCCTTCTGCGTGCAAGAAGACGCACAGGACCCCTAAGGCGCGGTGCACGCGCTTGCTGGAGAGCAAGAGTGGCTAGGATCCCCCCCCCCAAAAAAAAATCCAAACGTGAAAAAAGGGTCTGAATCGTTTCCTCATATTTCTAGAGAAATGTGTGTCTGGTTGCCTTACAGCAGTGGTGGCCAAACTTGGCCCCACAGCTGTTTCGGGACTACAACTCCCATCATCCCTGACCACTGGTCCTGTTAGCTAGGGACGATGGGAGTTGTAGTCCCAAAAAAGAGCTGGAGGGCCAAGTTTGGCCACCACTGCCTTACAGGGTTTCCAAAACTCGGGTCTCCAGCTGTTGTTGGACCACAACTCCCATCATCCTTAGCTAACAGGACCAGTGGTCAGGGATGATGGGAACTGTAGTCCGAAAACTGCTGGAGACCCAAGTTTGGGAAACCCTGCTTTTCGAAGAGAGCTTGGCGGCTGCTCTATCAGGCCCAAGGGGGCCCATCTCGTCCAGCTTCCGGCTTTCACGGCGGCCGATCAGGTGCCACCTTTGGCAACCTGATTCCACCACCTCTGATCGCCACTGCAGTCAAGTGTAGTGTGAGGCAGTGAGATACACACGGGTGCAAGAAGAACCTGGCTGCTAGATCAGGCCCAGGGGCCAGCATTCTGTTCTCTCAGTGGCCAAATGCTCCAAAGAATCTGGGAACCTAGATAGACTGCCTCTGCGTCTGGAGGTTCCATAAGAAGAGCATTGCAGCTAGATCAGGGCAAAAAGCCCATCTGGCCCCCCAGCACCCTGTTCGCACATGGGCCAAACAGATGCCACAATGGAAAGCCCACAAGCAGGACTTTACTGCAATAGCTGCTGATAGCCACTCACTTGAATGTCTTTAAAAGATTAGACTAATTCATGGGGGATAATAAGGCTATCATTACCTCATGTGGCCATGAGTTCCGCAGTTTAACTCTGCGCCTTGCGAAGGACTTTCTTTTGCCTGTCCTGACTCTTCCAACATTCAGAGTCATCTGCTTTGATTTTAAACCTCTCTAAAAATCTCCATTTCTTTGCTCCAAATAGTAGCTGAAGGGTAGTTTCAAAAGGGTGCTCTTTGGTGGGATGGGTGCATCTCAAGCAGGCACTTTTTTTGGCAACATCACTGTTGCAAAAAACATGTAATCAGAAAGCTCTGAATAAACAAACAAAAACTGCTGCCAATGTCCCATTTGCAAAATCTGAACAATTGTTTACAACCTTAACACACACACACACACACACACACACACACACACAGTTCGGAAGCACTCTGATTGGAACCCAGATCCTACTATCCATTCTGACTGTCACATAAAATGCACAAACTCAAGAGATATAAACTGGGAGGCAGTGTGGAGTAGTGGTTAGCGTGTCAGACTAGGACCCGAGGGAGACCAGGGTCCTAGTGACGAGGGGGAGGAGAACCCTGAGTGGAGACAAAGGTGGAAGTATAAAGGCAATAAACAAAGAAACAAACAAATAAGACCAGACACTGAGCTTCTTAGCTATTCTGAACGAAATGTGCTTGAACTCCCTTTCTTTTTGCCTGCACAGAATCACCCCCTGTTCCCAACGCCTCTCCCTCCTCCCGACCAAATTTGGACTGTGGGCCAGGGGTGGGCGGGCCACTAAAGTGAGATGAGCGCTGCAACCCCAGAGTCGGCCACGACTGGACCTAATGGTCAGGGGTCCCTTTACCTTTAATAACAACAGCCCGATGACAACAACTCATGTTAATCCACCAAGCAATCGGCTGATCAGTGCCTGACAGGCAGTGCGGCGTAGTGGTTAGAGTGCTGCGCTACGAGGAGCCAGGAGACCAGGGTTGAAATCCCCCACTCGGGGTGACCTTGGACCAGTCGCTGCCTTTCTCAGCCTGACCTACCTCACAGGGTCGTTGCTGTGGGAATTAGGCTCGAGGCAGGGAGAACCATGTACACCCCCTTGAACTTATTGGAGGAGCCTGTGAGATATAGAGGCAATTAATAAATAAATAAGTCATTCCTAATGAAGTCCCAACAATTAAAAAACATATACAAGAACACCTGCCAGATGACAGCAAAGGAAATCCGGACATCTCCAAAGCAAAATTCTGACCCCCGGTTAACCTCGTTTGTTTTCTAGTAACTGAGGTTGGGGGGCTGGCTGGTGTGTCCCCCGCCCCCGGCTGTGACACCCTGCTGGACAGCACCCCTACGTCTCCACCTGAGCTCCTGACCCGGCCACCTCCGGTCTTCTCCATCGCCTGCCATCGCTGTCTTCCACGGCAAAGACGCTTACGGGACAGCGCTGCCTCTTGATCCGCAGCCGAGGACAGACCCGCACCGACACCCCACACGGTTTGGGAGTCTCTCTCTCTCGGATCCCGAGTTCGCCAGCCTGGAAACAAGAATACGGGGGTCCTCCGCCGAGTTCTTCCAAGGGAGCCTCTCTCCTCACCGCCTTCCACAGCCCTCCATCCTCGGACTTCTGAAAAAGCCCCCCTCGCTCGCTGGAAGAAGGTCAGGCTTCCTTTGATGGAAGCAAATCAGCCGGTTGCTTTTCATTCATTCGAGAAATGGACCCGAGGCTCGCAACAAGCGGCCGGCGGTCGGTTGGGAAGCGGCACCGGTGCGCACATCCGCAGGGGCGCACGGAGACCTTTCCTCTCCCCGGTTCCCCCTCCCTCCCTCCGCTGCCCCACTGGATCAGATGAAATGGATTGGATGCAACCAGCTGGCTTGAGGGAGGGGAGGGAGGTCTGCGCCATAAACAAGCCTTCAGTGACACTGGCTAAGTGTTTTCCTGGATCTCCTCCCAGTGCTGATGGAGCAAGATTTTTTCCCTCTTTTCTTTTTAACTCTGCCACATGCATTAGAGCCAGCTTGCTCCCTGGGGGATCTGCTGAGCCCCCGCTGGACGTGCGCCACGGATGTGTCTCCAAAAGCGGCTCAGCCTGAGCAGCAAGCAGCCCAAGTGCTTTGTTGTTGTTTAGTCATTTAGTCGTGTCCGCCTCTTTGTGACCCCCTGGACCAGAGCACGCCAGGCACTCCTGTCTTCCACTGCCTCCCGCAGTTTGGGCAAACTCATGCTGGTAGCTTCAAGAACACTGTCCAACCATCTCATCCTCTGTCGTCCCCTTCTCCTTGTGCCCTCCATCTTTCCCAGCATCAGGGTCTTTTCCAGGGAGTCTTCTCTTCTCATGAGGTGGCCAAAGTATTGGAGCCTCAGCTTCAGGAACTGTCCTTCCAGTGAGCACTCAGGGCTGATTTCCTTCAGAATGGAGAGGTTTGATCTTCTTGCAGTCCATGGGACTCTCAAGAGTCTCCTCCAGCACCAGAATTCAAAAGCATCAATTCTTCGGAGATCAGCCTTCTTTATGGTCCAGCTCTCACTTCCATACATCACTACCGGGAAAACCATGGCTTTAACTATATGGACCTTTGTTGGCAAGGTGATGTCTCTGCTTTTTAAGATGCTGTCTAGGTTTGTCATTGCTCGGAAGTGCTTAGTAAAATAATAATAGCACATGTATGAGTGTATGTGAGAGAGGAGGGCCAGGGTAGTGTAATGGTTAGAGTGTTGGACTAGGACCTGGGAAAGACCAGGGTTCGAATCCCTGCTCAGCCATGATGCTCGCTGGGCGATCTTGGGGGCCAGTCCCTGCTTCTGTCAGCCTAACCTACCTCACAGGGTTGTTGTGAGGATGAAATGGGGGGAAGAAGAGCCAAAGTACTCTGCCTTGGGCTCCTTGGATGTAAAGGCGGCATATGCATATTCATTGACATCCATCTGTCTCTGGAGACAATGGCAGAGTGTGCTTTGGGGGTGAAGACAAACTCAGAAGCTTGCAGCGCCTGCTGTGGCTGTAGAGACCGATACAGGAGAGACATGCTTTGTTGCAGCCAGGGCAGAGGAAGGCGTCCGGTTGCGCTGCTGCAGATGTACTATGCTGTTTCTTCTCTCTGTGCTCCTCCCAGAGGGCATTCCTCCTCTGGTCACTGCCATGGATGCACAACTTGACTGCCTTTCTCCAGGCACTGTGGTCACCTGCAAGTTGCCTACAGGTAAGACAAGTCGGGAGATGGTCCCAACAGCTCAGTCGCTAGAGCATGAGACTCCTAATCTCAGGGTCATGGATTTGAGTCCTACGTTGGGCAAAAGATTCCTGCATTGCAGTGGGTTGCCTTAGATGACCCAACTCTACAATTCAATGTTTCTATGATTTGGGGGCAGCTTGGCAGAGAGCAATACTAGGACAGAGGTCTGACCCATTATAAGGCATCTTCCTACATTCCTCTTTAAATCAGCCTTTTCCCCCAGAAGTATGAGGACTAGGATCTTGCTTTATTTTTATTATTTTTAGGGGAAAGGGCATAGCTCAGCGACAGAGCATCTGCAGGACGAACCCGCAAACTTCAGCTTGTGGAATTTGGTGTGAGGCAGCCAGACCACAGTTTCCGTTGCCTCGCCTCCTACACCAGCCTCCTGCCACATCAGCCCTTTGAATCTTTTCACCCCCGCCACACCTGGGCCTTCTTGTGATGCCCTTTCAGCCCCCAAGATCCTGTGGGCAGCAAAAGTCCGGGACACCCCCTACCCCCCAGTGTGGACACAAAGGCCGTCATTTTGCAGAGGAGCAACTTAAGCCTGCCTTTTGCCAGATGCAAAACCATTCATTTTTGCTGTTATTCTTGTTCTAGAAGGGACTGCTTCCTTTCCCCACATGCGCCCACTTGACAGCTCCCATCAGTGGAACTGGCACTGCTACAGGGGCCCCATGATACCCATTTTGCAATTCAAGGAACTCAGCCTTTTTACCCTTTGGAACTCCCCGCCTGTTGACATCACTGCACGCTTTTTGGCAGCTGCTGAAACCATTTTTGTGAAGGCAAGCTCACCTAGATGTTCAGAAAGCTGATGCAGGTTTTAATCTGTTTCTTGGGTATTGCTATTTTAACTTTTCAAGAGTTTTAAATTATTGTTGTTAGTCCAGAGGTAGCATTATTATCAATTTACATTGGAGTGGAAGGTTCACAGGCTATGAAGGACTTGCTCACAAATTTATTAACAGCTGCACGAATTATTATAGCTAGGAAGTGGAAGGGGCAAGCAGAATATAAAATGGAAGAATGGTACAAAGAGGTGTGGGATATAGCTATTAATGATAAATTAGCATGTGCCATTAAGGAAAGATGGGGAATATGCAGGAGAAATGATTTTGAGGCGATATGGACGGTGTTTGTAGAATTTGTTCTGTTAAAATGGAAAGGGGTCAAACCGTCGCAAGAGGTGTTGAAATTTAGGAAGGTTGGATAGTTACAATGGAATGGTCTCGGTGGTGGGGCGCATGTTTTTATTCTTACTTATTTATGATTATTACTTTGTCAAAAAAATTAAAGAAAAAAAATTTCAAAATAAGAAGGGGAAAAATTGTTGTTAATTTTTCTTAGTGATTTTTTTGGGGTAAACCATTTTGAGATAGTTTATAAATACTGTGTGTGTGTGTGTGTGTGTGTGTGTGTGTGTACACACACACACTATATATATTACAATCAAGCAGTGTATACATCTTAGGAAATGAAATGAAATAAATAAATGCAGCTAGCTAGGATGCCTTATTTCCTCTAACAGCAAAGACCGCTGGTTGGGGCCAACAGAATCGGACCCCCAAACAGAGCCCCTGAGAAACGAGAGCAAGTTATTAGCATGCTCAGCTTGCAGAAATACAACACACACACTCTTTGCTTTTTTAAAATGAAGGTGGAAAGGAACCCAACATCAGTTCATTGAAAATGGAGGCAGCTCAGAGGTCATCCAGAAGACACTGAGCAGTGAACATCTGCTAGAAAAGAGCAAGGGGGAAACTGAGGCAATGGGGGGGGGGAATAGACCAGCCTGATCCCCTAACAGCTTGGTGAGGAGGCACACATCACTTGAAACAGATGGCATTGATTTCTATTTTTAAAAATGCACGATAGCTTAAATGTTTAGGTGCAAATTCAGGAGAAAATTGCTGTCACTGAAACAGACATCATGCAACATGTCTCTCCAGGGTGGGGGAAAGTGTGCTCAGATATGTGCCTCTTCCTTTCTATTTATCATTTATTGCATTAATATCCCACCTTTTTCTCCAAGGAGTTCCTCATTCAGTCCCCACAACAACCCTGTGAGGTAGGCGAGACTGAAAGGCAGTCACATCCAGTGAGCATCATGGCCAAGTGGGGATTTGAACCCTGGTTTCCCAGGTCCTGGTGTGACACTCTAACCACTGCTCCAGGCTGCCTGTCAGCTGCTGTCCACCTGCTGCTGACTGAGGATGGGAAAAGAAAGAAAGAAAGAAAGAAAGAAAGAAAGAAAGAACACCACGGTTTTTCCAGTTTGGATGGGACAGCCTTTCCGAGAGATGGCTCCTTCAACTCAAAGGACTGTCTTCCATACAGCAAGACGCACTACCGCCCTCGATGTATGCGCTGCAACATTTTGTTGCAGTCGCCACTTGCTTTTAAAACAAAGGCAAATACACAGGGTGTGGCTCAGTGGCAGAGCACCTGCTTGGCATGCAGAAGGTCCTATATTCAATCACTGGCATCTCCTGGCAGGGCTGGGAACAGGACCTCAGAGTAAATATCATCTTCTGGGTGGGTGAAGATGCCCTATAATGTGGTCCGCTAGGTGGCGCTTGACATCACTTACAAAAACTCTTTTCTCTTTTTTTTGGATTTGATATCCCGCCTTTCACTCCCTTTAAGGGAGTGAAATTTGATAGGTAAAGGTAAAGGGACCCCTGACCATTAGGTCCAGTCGTGGGTGACTCTGGGGTTGCGGCGCTCATCTCGCTTTATTGGCCGAGGGAGCCGGCGTACAGCTTCCGGGTCATGTGGCCAGCATGACTCAGCCGTTTCTGGCGAACCAAAGCAGCGCACGGAAATGCCGTTTACCTTCCCACCAGAGTGGTACCTATTTATCTACTTGCACTTTGACGTCCTTTCGAACTGCTAGGTTGGCAGGAGCAGGGACCGAGCAACGGGAGCTCACCCCGTCACGGGGAATCGAACCGCCGACCTTCTGATAGGCAGTCCTAGGCTGTGTGGTTTAACTCACAGCGCCACCCGCGTCCCTCCTCTGAATCTGATAGCCTTGAGCTAAACAATAGCATGGGGGTCTAATGATGGGAAAGAACCCTGCCTGAAACTCCAGGCAGCTGCTGCCAGTCAGTGTAGACGATATTGAGCTAGATGGTCTGACTCAATGATAAAGCGGTGTCTCTGCACTTCAGAATACCTTCCTGTGTCTTGAACACAAAGGCAGAGGACGCCTGTTAAGGAAATGACAACAATTTTATCCCCGGCTTCCGGTAAAAAGCTCAGGGTGGCCTGCATGGTGTCTCAGCATTCACAACGACCCTGTGAGGTAGGCTAGACTGAGGCAGTATGGCTGGCCCAAGGTCATCCAGGGAGGTATGGATTTGAACCCAGCCCCCTTGGGTCCGAAGCCTGGCACTCTAACACAGGTTGGCCCAAGCAGCACTTTACATATGTTGTGGGACTCCAATTCCCAGCAGCCCCAGCAGCCAGCATGCCCAGTGGTCAGCGGAGGTGGGAGCGAGGGTACAATAACTTCTGGAGGTTTGGTAACAGTTAACCCAGACATCCTCACACTCAGCCCTCCAGATGTTTCGGGACTGCAATTCCCATCATCCCTGACCACTGGTCCTGTTAGCTAGGGATGATGGGACTTGTAGTCCCAAAACATCTGGAGGGCTGAGTTTGGGGATGCCTGAGTTAACCATTAGACCACATTAGCTCACAAGCCCCTGAACTTCCTAATTCTCCCACCAGAGAGAGCCAGAACACAATGCAACCTTCCTTTCAGGGATGGAAGCAGAGGAGGAAATCAAGAGTCACCATAATCAATGAAAAGCAAGTGTATTAAGGAGGGGTCCATCTCTTGCCCCCCACCCCCAACTCGGATGCGTCCATCAAAATGACTCCATCAAGCAAGGCGATTGGGTGAAGAAGAGAAGAAGAAGAGTTTGGATTTGATATCCCGCCTTTCACTCCCTTTAAGGAGTCTCAAAGCGGCTAACATTCTCCTTTCCCTTCCTCCCCCACAACAAACACTCTGTGAGGTGAGTGGGGCTGAGAGACTTCAGAGAAGCGTGACTGGCCCAAGGTCACCCAGCAGCTGCAGGTGGAGGAGCGGAGACGCGAACCCGGTTCCCCAGATTACGAGACTACCGCTCTTAACCACTACACTACACCACACTACACCACACCACACTGAAACGAAACAGGCACCTTTATCCTGCATAAACTTACAGCAGGGTGGGGGGTTGTTTTGTTTTTACCACCCCACAGCAAGCTGTTAAAGGCTGAGGAGCCCCCGCCCTCACTCAAAGAGAGAGAGCGCAACGTGGCTCGCTTTATGTATTTACTCATTTTATTGGATATTTGTCAGCTGGAGCGATTGGAGCTACTTAACTAAATTAAACCGGCTAACATACAATGGGAATTGCACGAATTGATTTAGCCTTGCCGGCATCCCGTATTGCCAGGGAGGGGGAATGGCAGCATATTTCCCATGACGTAGTTAGCCCAAGCCCCCCTAGAAAAAATAGATGACCCCCCCATTGTCAAAACCACTTGCCACAGAGGGCGTTCGCCCACACCCAGTTGTTGAGGGGCAGGGTCCATTTAGCCTGGGTGGGTGGGTGGTGTCACTGTGCTACTGACTGCCCTGCAGGAATGACCTGGCCGCAAACGATGGGAGAGGAAGAATGAGCAACTGAATCCCCAGTTGAATATATTCTCCCCCCCCAGTTGATCCATGGTGTTGATCCATACACAGCCCCCCTCCACACCCCACAAGTCCCAACAGATTCAGACTACTTCTTCATGCTGCGCATAGTTAAACTATGGAACTCCCTGCCACTGGAGGCGGGGATGGCCAGCAACTTGGATGGCTTAAAAAGAGGATTAGATGGGTCCTGCTTGCTGGTTTCCCTTGGGGGCATCTGGTCGGCCCCTGTGAGAACAGGAGGCAGGACTAGATGGCCTGATCCTGCAAGGCTCTTCCTGGGTTCTTTGATTTGTGGAGAATGGAAATCCTGGAGCAGAAGATGCAATAGGACCCTTGTACCTACGGGACCGCCTCTCCTGGTCTGCCCCACAGAGGACCTTAAGGTCCATACACAGCAACACCCTAGAGGTCCCGGGCCCTAAGGAAGTTAGATTGGCCTCAACCAGAGGCAGGGCCTTTTCAACTCTGGCTCCGGCCTGGTGGAACGCTCTGCCTCATGAGACCAGGGCCCTGCAGGATCTGATTTCTTTCCACAGGGCCTGTAAGACAGAGTTGTTCCGCCTGGCCTTTGGCTTGGAATCAGCTTGATCCCCTTCCCCTCTTTCCTTTTTCCTTTCTGCTTCTGTGATGTAACTCCTATTTGGGGACTTCCCTGGCTTTTTCCTGGCCCACGTAGGACCAGTCTGGATAGTTGACCTTCATGAAGACTTGATGTTTTCATCCCCAAAAAAGTTTTTGATTTGAGCTTCCATTGAAATGAGGCTGCATTTTAATGTTGTACTTTAATCTTGTTTTTAAGTTGTATTTTATTCAATTGTTTTTATGCCTGGTGTTAGCCGCCCTGTGCCCGGTCTTGGCGGGGAAGGGCAGAGTATAAATAAAATAATAATAATAATAATAATAATAATAATAATAATAATAATTCTGCTTTTTAATGCAAAGCTGCTCTCTCAGCACAGCCCACTTGGGTTGGTTGCTAGAGGGGTGAGGAGGCAACCCCACAGCGCCCATTTGTGTGGGGCGATGGGCAACCCAGATTAACGTTCTGCTTTGCCTGTGGCTGAGTGGCTGCTCCGCAGGAGAAAACAGCCCCAGAGGGAGGGAAGGGGAGAGGCCCCGGCTTCTCAAAGCACACTCCACAGGGACTAGCCCCTTGGGCGCAGCCTTTAGTTAAAGGTGGTGGAAGCACGATAGATTAGCTCTGGGATTAGGGAGAGAGTCTCTCAAGGACTGCAATGAAAGCATAACAGCAAGGAAACCAACCTTAGTGAGCTGATAGATATTTAAAAAGGGCAGAGGGGCGTTCATAGAGACGTCTTCTATCCCTGCTTGATCGCAGGTTTTTTCTTTGGTGGGGGAGTCCTTGTTAGTGGCCCCCCGTGGCTCAGGTGCACAGCTCAGATCCACCATAGAATCTGCCCGATTCTATGGAACATCCAGCTGAGGTCAGACAGGCTCCCTCCCTGTTGAACTTCCGGTGACTACGGAATTATTACTATTTTTTAATATTATTTAGCAGGCAGTTTGAGCAAATTCTGACTTCATAGTGTTAACTTGTTTTTCTTTTCACTGTATTGAAGAGCCTGTGCACTGCTTAGGGATGACTGTAATTAAGCGGTATACAGTATATTTATAAAAACGGGACGCGGGTGGCGCTGTGGTCTAAACCACAGAGCCTAGAGCTTGCCGATCAGAAGGTCGGTGGTTCGAATCCGCGTGACGGGGTGAGCTCAGTCCCTGCTCCTGCCAACCTAGCAGTTCGAAAGCACGTCAAAGTGCAAGTAGATAAATAGGTACCGCTCCAGCGGGAAGGTAAATGGCATTTCCGTGTGCTGCTCTGGTTCGCCAGAAGCGGCTTAGTCATGCTGGCCACATGACCCGGAAGCTGTATGCTGGCTCCCTCGGCCAATAAAGCGAGATGAGCGCCGCAACCCCAGAGTCGGCCACGACTGGACCTAATGGTCAGGGGTCCCTTTACCTTTACCTATTTATAAAAACAAATGGTGGGCTTGAGTGGAGCTTCCATGTCCAGATGCCGTTTACCCCTGAATACCAGATGCAAGGGAAACAACCGTTGAGGAATGGTTACTGCCTTATTGTCCAGCTTCCCAGGACGCCGGGCTGTCCATCATCGGAAGCAGGATGTCCGGGTGGGGGATGGAGTTAGACAGATCCTGATATGGTTCAAGCCTTCTTCTTCTTCTTTAAAAAAAAACCAAATACTTTGTCTTGTTGGCCAAAACCATGATATTATTTTTTGCTGGTGCCCCAAACCTGTTTGTTCCTGCCTCACTTTGCACCCCTGCTAAACTCAGGTGCCTGTCTCTTATAATTCACTCAGCCACCCATCCCCACTGCCCCTACATGCCCCACATATTCAGAGCTAGGAGAGGTCTTTCTCGGAAAGCTGCCCCCCCCCTTCCCCGAACCACAAGATTTACGGTGTGACAAGAAATCATCCTGACGCTAGGTCCGCCCGCCACCCATTTCTGGGTGCTCAGGCTTGTAAATCTTGCCAACAGGGTAGAAAGCGATAAATCAAATGGGGGGTTGGAGTGGGAGTTCCCTGCCCTGAAACACACACACACACACACACACACACACACACACACACACACACAAGATGCTATATTTGCACAAAACCTGAAATGACAATGGCAAGAAAACTAGGCTGTGTGAGCAGGTATATGCTAAGAAGAAAATAAATGTCAATGGAGACATAAAGTACAGGTTTAAGTGGAGCCTCTAAGTTTAGCAGCAGTCTACCTAGTGTTTCTTGCAGGCAGCGAGAAAGGGGACATGATAGAAGTTTAATAAGGCATGGCATGGAGAAAGCGATAGAGGGAAGTTTTCCTCCCTCTCTCCTAACACTAGAACTCCGGGAGATCCAGTGAAGCTGAAGATTCAAGGCAGATAACCTAACAAATAATAATATTTTAAATGTGTTTGTGGGAGGGGGGCCGTTATAGTTTTGTTGTTTCTGTTTTAACTATTTGTGCTTTTATCTTGTGAACCTTTCCAGGGATCTTGCGATGAAAGGCAGTATATAAATCTAATAAAACAACAAGATAATAAAAATAAAAGATAAAAGAAAGTCCTTTCTCACACAGCGCATAGCTGGACTGTGGAACTCCCCGCCACACAATGGCTGGAGGCAGCCGTGCTTCTGAATCCCAGTTGCTGAAAACCACTGGAGGGGAGAGTTGCTCTTGGGCCCGGATCCTGCATGCTGGTTTCCCTTTGGGGCATCTACTTGGCCACTGTGAGAAGAGGATGCTGGGTTCTGATCCAGCATGGGCCTGATCCTGCATGGGCTCTCCTTATGCCCTTACATTCTCCCACCCTCCTCCATCTCCCGAGCTGCAAGGTGCAGGAATTTGCTCAGGGGGTCCCAGTCACGCCCCCGCCCAAGGACCAGGAAGGAAGGGCGGTTGCGAGACAGATTGGAGCAGGTGATAAAAGAGGCCGGGGAAATAATTTGCTCCCTGAAAACAGAGGCCTTCCTGTCCCCTTTTGCGGCGGGACAAGGACCTCGGGGCAGGCAGTTGTCTGGGCTAGCTGCCACCCGGCTTTTGGGATCGACATTCCTAGGAGGCTGGAGGTGGGGTGAGATCAGGCAGGGAGGCACTCTGAGCAGGCGGCTGCAATCCCCGCCCTTTTAATCAATTCGTTTCCCCAAAATGAATGTGCATCCCTTTCCACCTCTCCATCTTCCTGAAGGCAGTCGTGGGCTGAGCAGCAAATCCTGGCCTGGCTGCATGGCCTGCCAGATAGCTTCCGGGCCCGATTCAAAGTGCTATAAAGCCTTAAACAGCTCAGGACCGCAATACCTCAAGGATAGTATATTCCTCTCCCCATATATAGTGCCCCAGACCCTGTAATCATTATTTGAGGCCCTTCTTTGTGTGCCTCCTCCACGAGGTCTGGAGGGTGGCAACGTGAGAACAGGGCCTTTTCTGCAGTGGCTCCCTGTTGCGGAATGCTTTCTCCAAGGATGTTCGGCTGCTGCCTTCATTATACATCTTTATGCACCAGGCTAAAATGCTCCTCTCCAACCAGGTCTTCGGCTGATTAATATTCTACAGCCTTTTAAATATGTTTGAGGGAGGTTATTGTTTTGCTGTTTTTGATTAACCCGTTTATTTGTGTTTTTACCTTTAATTTTTATCTTGTGAATCGCCTCGAGGTCATGTCTAATAAACAATAATAAATAACAGACATCCTTGCTGCAGTCAAAAGGTGAGAAACAAGTTTGTTATTTTTAAGATCTTTATCAGCTTCAGAAAATAAATTTAAAACCACCAGGCAATTGGTCCTTTGCACAATTGATGCCCAACAAACCTCTGGAACTCCCTGCTACAGGAAGTTGCAACAGTCACTATGCTCAATTGAAAATATGCATAGGATGGCACTCCTAGATGAGTTCATGTGCACCAAGGTTGCACCAAGGATAAAGTAGGGCAGGGGAGAGACATTAAATGCCCCCTTGATCTCCATGGAGGGAAGGCGAGAGACACAATATAACCTCAAACAAAAAATGTTTGCAAAACTGACAAATTGCTGTGTCCTTGTTGTTAGGCCCACAAACCTGAGAGGCAGCTCCTCCAACCTTTTATCAGCCTGTGTCTGATTTGTGTCCAGTAATTGATCACAGCAATTACTACCTGTTCCGTTTGTCTCTTGCCATGCTCCTGTTTGGACCTTTTGAAGCCATGGCTAATTTCAGGGCCCGCGTGCAATAAATCAGCTGCAGGGACCCCCGAGGGAACGAGGAGGATGGGAAGGGAGACTTCAAAGGGAGGCATGTTTTACACCTGCCTGGTTCTTCATGGACGCTGGAATCTCGCCTTGCCAAGAGGCCCAATTTATTTTTATTTTTAAAAAAGAAATTGGTGGAGGAACAGAGGTCTAAATTAATAGCTAGCCACAGACATCTGGGAGAAAGGGACTGGTGATTTAAAGACAGAGTCTTTTCCTGGGAAGGCACCAAGGTGCTTATTACAACTTTTGGAGGGTCGAAGGGCTGGCGGGAAAGGAAATTCCGTCCTGAATGTGTGCAGAGCCTGGCTGCAGGATCAGGCCAAAGGGGGCCCATCCAGTCCACCATCTTCTTCTCACAATGGCCAACCACATGCGCCAACAGGAAGCTTGCAAGCAAAACCCAAGCAGAACAACAGCTCTCCCCTCCTGTGGCTTCCAGAACCCGGCATTCAGAAGCTGCCTTTGTCCAATGTGCTGGACACGATCATTTATGTACACTGCAAAAGCTTATGCCTCATTCCACAGTATCGGGAGCTCTTGTTAGACCGCCCACCCTGCAGTGTAGGCAAGGAACTCGAGTTGGAGTTGAGGGTGTGACAAAGAGGCAGAGCGGTGCACGGAGGTGGGAAAATCTGGCGTCTACATGAGCAGCTTCCTGAATAAGCTGGTGCCCCTAACCCCAGGATACCTGGAGGCTGGTGATAAAAAAGGCTACCTGGGACAGGATTCCACATGGTATAATTAAATCTCAGCCTCCAGGAGTTTGGAGGAGGAGGAGGAGGAAGAGAAGGAGGAGCCTGGTGCACAGGACTGTCCAGCAAAGATCTGCACAGGAAGAGGGAGAGAAATCTGAACAGAGAGGTTCAAAAATGCCCAGAGCTGCCGCGAGCCACCTGGAACAGCCGGACCCCTGGGAAGGAGAGGCACGAGGTGTGCCCAGGCAAAGGACCTGCTTCCTGCAGCCTTGCAAGGTCAAGTCCCCGGCCTTCCCTGGAAACCTCGAGGAGGCCCCAGAGAAGCGCAGGGTCCGGCCCATGCGCTCCAAAGCCCGGCGCATGGCAGCCAACGTCCGGGAGCGCAAGAGAATCCTCGATTACAACCAGGCCTTCAACGCCCTGCGGCTGGCCCTCCGGCACGACCTGGGGGGCAAGCGGCTCTCCAAGATCGCCACCCTCCGCCGCGCCATCCACCGGATCGCCACCCTCTCCACGTCCCTCCGGTCTGGGCCTGCGGTGGGGTGGTCCTGCGCCCACGCTGAGTGCCAGCTGCCCCGGGGCGAAGGCGGCTTTAGGGACAGCCAGACCAAGCTCTTCCAGCCTCTCTGGGAACCTGGATACAGTAAGGGGCCTCCATTTCAGCCCAGTGCGACAGCATGCGTGAAGTGCCGCCCCGAAAACGCTTCCCATCACTTGGTCGAAAACCCCAAAGAGGGCACTTATGGATCCAGCCCTGCCTGTTGTCCAGCCGGCACCCTCCTCCTGGCGGGCCGAGCCCCCTACCAGCAAAGACTTGCAGATGGCGGCATTCAAAGTTGCCCTGGTCATTTCCCCTGGAAGTACGGCTTGTTCTGAGATGGGGATTCTCAGCCTTCTTCATCCTTGTGGTCCTGATGGTGAGGGCACGATCCTCTTCTTCCCCTGAAGTTGGATCTGGACAGTTTTCCTAGGATCTCACATTGAGCCTTGCAGACTTAGAGAAGTTGCCTTCTCAGGATTTCACATTTCCTCTGGCTGAGTTTGTAAAGGTATACAGATGCTTTTTTGACTGTACCTTCATGGGGCAGAGACCTATCTCTTAGGTGCTCCAGCTGATTTGTAAATATATACAGTGGCTTTTTGACTGCATGCTCCTGGGGAATCTGTAAAATGCAATGCACACTGATGGAACTGTATAAATATATTATATTATGATCTTGCAACCACTGGATACTGCAAGAATATTTGTGTCTTTGGGATGTTATAGGTTCACCCGCCTTTGTGACTTTTCCTGAAATAATCTGATGCCTGCTCTGTCAGGCTGATGGAATCACTGCCCTGATCTGGAGGGCAGCCTCACTGCAAAGCAGCTGAGAGGCGGCAATATTTCAAAGGGGCGTCAGAGGAGTACCTGCCACCAGGATGTGATCCTCAGATGTTGTCCACAAGGGAACACGGTCCTCGGACCATGTGGAAGCTTACCCACTACAGCTAGAAACACTGACTTGGGAATAAGCCCCACAGAACTCATTGGGGCTCATTTCTCAGTAGATATCCATGGGGTGGCACTTGTCAGCATCACTACAGTTCTGGGTGCAACTAGAATGGGGGGGATGCGAACCAGCCGATGTCTTACGAAGGAACAGAAGGAGTCCAGCTGAGACACTTGAACACCAGTGCAGGCAGCAAGATAGGTGTGGTTTATTTGTCTGTTTAGATCTGTTGGGGCATAAACTCTAGAACCTGTAATCCACAAAGGGTGCGCCAGGGCATGCTAAGAGTGCTGCAAGATGAAAGTTAATTAAATAATTGAAGGCCAAAGCATTTTGGGCATGTGTGCCTTTTCTGATTTCACCTCTTATTAATCAAGACTGTACTGGGGGATTGGGGCATGGGATGGCGATGGGAAGTAATTCTGCTCTGCCAGGGTGCTGACGGATCAGGGATTTCTAACTGCGATTCCTGCATAGCAAGGGGTTGGACTAGATGACTTGGGGGTCCCTTCCAATGCTACAATACAGTGGTACCTCGGGTTAAGAACTTAATTCGTTCCGGAGGTCTGTTCTTAACCTGAAACTGTTCTTAACCTGAGGTACCACCTTAGCTAATGGGGCCTCCTGCCACTGCTGCGTGATTTCTGTTCTCATCCTGAAGCAAAGTCCTTAACCCGAGGTACTATTTCTGGGTTAGCGGAGTCTGTAACCTGAAGCGTCTGTAACCCGAGGTACCACTGTACTATGATTCTCTCTCTGCGCGCGCACACACACACATGTGTCTGTTGTACTGCTCTGGGCTTGCCTCCTTCTAATTAGGAGAGATTTCCTACCATCACATAGAAAAACAGAGGGACAGATGGATTTTGCTGGAGGCAATCATTATTTCTCTCACGCATTCTTTAAAAACATTCATGTGTAAGAGTGAAGATGGCCTCCCATTTTAATTCAGAGATTTTTCTGTTGCTGATTTTTTTGGTGTGTTTTTTTTTTTGTTAAAAGGATGAGCTTTAGCTATCTGGAGTTGGGAGACACACTGATCTGCACCGATATAACAGAGCCACTTGATAAAACCAGTTGCTGTGTTTCTGTGACGCTCCTTTTGCTCAGCCGCCAAGATCCCCATGCAATTCTCTGCAACATACTTAACATTATCAGTAGTCGGTATCGTACAGTTATCTGCTCACTGTCCTGAACGGTGGAGCAATTTGCTTTCCCGAATCAATGTAACCTCCTCTGTATTTTTGAGCAATATTGGGAAGGGCAAATATTGGGAAGGGCAAAGTGACAGAGCACCTGTTTTGCGTGTGGAAGGTCCCAGGTTCAGTCCCCGGCAGCATCTCCAAGCAGGGCTCAAAATGTCAGGGCAGATAAAAGAAAGGACTTCTTCACGCACCTATGGAACTCTCTTCCACAGGAGGCAGAGACGGTCACCCACTTGGATGGCTTTAAAAGAGGATTCACATAGGAATTCATGCATTAGTATTGATGGCTACCAGCCATGATGGCTCTGCTCTGCCTCTGCAGTTGGAGGCAGCAATGTCCGTTGCTGGAAACTGCAGCAGGGGAGAAGGATCCTGTGTTCAAATCCTGCTTGGCATCTGGTTGGCCACTGTGAGAAGAGGATGCTGGACTAGTTGCGCCAAGGGCCTTATCCAGCAGCCTCCCCTTATGTTATGTCATTATTCCCTGCCTTGAAAGCGTGGAGAATCACTTCCAGACAGCATAGAGAGCTAGATGGAGCAATGATCTGACTCAGTGGAATGCCTCTTCCTATTTAGATCAGCCCTATATTCATGAGGACTGGAATCTTACTTTGTGTTACTTGCAGGCTTCCCACTGGGGCATTTGACTGCAGAATCCCGGAACGTGCATCTTCCTACTATCCACAAACAGGTTGTGGGGCTCAGAACATCACTGTTTCCACAGTGCTTTCCTTCCTTCTTTGCAAAGGAGTCCTCCAGGGAATCAGCAATATGAGACCCCAGCAAAAGGCAGGAGATTCTGTTCTATTGAGCTTGACCCACACAAACTTCTGAGCATCACAGAAGTCTTCTTCAAGCAGAGGCGGGAATGGCATCAATGTCCCAACCCATTTTGTTCTCTGTATGATGCGGGAAATCTTGCTTGGCAGCAGCAGGGGGAAAGGAAAATGTTGATTCTTTTTGTGGGTGGGTGACCCAGCCAGAAAATTCCTCATGTGGTCCACAAGGTGGCAGTCTGCGCCAGTTCTAAACTCCACACATATACGCTCCCAGGTACCATCCCAGCATCTCCAGGTAAGACATTAGTTGCAAAGCAGTGGCCACCGAATGTGGGCAATGCTGAGCTAGATCATGGGTAGGCAACCTAAGGCCCAGGGGCCGGATCTGGTCCAATCGCCTTCTAAATCCAGCCCGCGGGTGGTCCGGGAATCAGAGTGTTTTTACAGGAGTAGAATGTGTCCTTTTATTTAAAATGCATCTCTGGGTTATTTGTGGGGCATAGGAATTCGTTCATCCCCCCCCCCAAATATAGTCTGGCCCCTCACAAGGGCTGAGGGACAGTGGACCGGCCCCCTCCTGAAAAAGTTTGCTGACCCCTGAGATGGACCAATGGCCTGATTCGGTATAAAGTGGCTTCCTCTGTTTCTATTTAATACAGCCTTTTATGCAGATCCATGAGGATTCGGATCTTGCATTATTTTTTTAGGGTGGTTCAGAGGCACAGCACATGCAAAAGGTCCCGGGTTCAATATGGAACATCTGCAGGGAGGCTGAGAATGTCCCCCTGCCTGAAACCCTGGAGAGCCGCTGCTGCCAGTCAGGGTAGACAATACTGAGCTAGAGGGTCTGCTGACTTGGCCTAAAGCCCATGCTCATCATTGCTCGGGCACTTCCACAGCAGATGCACAGCTGACGTGCTTCTATGTGCATCCAACAACACCCCCCTGAGGACTAATAAAATGCTCAGTCCCTTGAAAACTGGGGCGTGGTGCCTGCCTCGTGATAGAAGGTCAGTACAGAGCAAAGCAAGGCACGCAGGTGCTGAAACTAACATCGAGTGTTTCTCCCTTTCATAGACTTGAAATAGTATTTGGCAGCAGCCAAAAATGGGCCAAGCCACATCCACACACGGAGCGGGTTGCCCCTTCACACATCTTGACAGTTTCCCGGCTCTCACCTCCTATTTCAGGAGCACTTTTAAACACTGCCGTTTCCCATCTGGTCTTCAGACACTGTCGCTAAATGGAGCCTCCAGATTCAGAGGCAGTCTATCTGTAAACGTCAGCAGCTGGGGAAGCAACAACCAGAGAGGGCTTCTGCCTCCAGTGCCCTGCCCAGTGAGCTTCCTTAAGGCGCCTGGTGGGTGCCTGTGGGTGGGAAAGGGGTGATGGGGTAGAATCTCTAAGGTTGGTTTGATCCATCCAGCTGAGGTTTCCTTGAGGACTAGGAACAAGGAACTGAGAAGGAGGTGTAAGGAAATAACTGCTAAATATGAAGAAGGAACTGAGATTTAGGAATTAGGGACAAGAAGAAATGATTTGGGAATAAGGAAAGTAAGGAGACGCAGGAATAAGGAACGGGGAATAAGGAGACAATTCCAGCCTCCATCTGCCTTCTCCAGGGCTGCGGCTGCTGCTTCCCACCGGCCAAGTCCCTACCGGGAGCTGCTTTCCAAACCCCGCTTCTCCACCACACAACCCGAGCAATCTGCCCATTGCCGGTGGTTGACGGGCCGTGCCTTGGGGCGAGCGAGCGTCAGGGAAGGCGCTCTGGCTCCTCCTCCTCTTGCCTCCTCGGTGAGCTCACAACCCAGCCTGGGCGGCCCCTTCGACGGACCGGCGCGCAGTTGCCAAAGAGCGCTCTGGAGAGAGAAAGGCGAGCGCGGCGGATAAGAGAGAAGCCTGCGTGGCTGGGTCAGGAAAGCGACCGAGCAAGAGGCAGGAAGGGACAGAGAGAGCCCCCAGCGCCAGGGCGAGGCGCGTGTGATCCCGTCGAGGCGGCGCCTGCGGCTCCCTCCCCGGACCCCCTGCGCCTTCTCCCGGATCATGGGAGTCTAAGCGCGGCGCAGCCATGGCCATCAACACGGAGGCGCCGCTGGCGAAGGCGCTGGAGAACTCTCCTCCGCCCGTGGACTCGCACGAGACGGAGAAGCTGCTGACCGCCGTCGGGGTAGCTCCGAAGTCCTTCTCAGCCGGTGGAGAAGGCAGTGATGAAGCGCCCGCCGGGGGCGAGGCCGAGCGCAACGGCCACCACAGCCTGCCTTACCAGTCCGGCTCGGAGGGGAAGCTGGAGGCCACGTCGCTCTCGCCGTCGCGGCTCAGCCTGGGGCGCGCCTCGTCCACGGCCACCACCTCCAACCTCCACGAGCCGGGCCGCTCGCGGGACTACCTCCCGCTGGCCATCTTCTCCTGCTTCTGCCCCATCTGGCCCCTCAACATCCTGGCCTTAGTCTTCTCCATCATGGTAAGCGGCCGTTTCCCCGGCTCCAGCGCGTCCCCTCGGGACTCCGGCTGTGCGCAAAGACGCGCCGCCCTCGCCAAGTTCCTTGTGCGTCCTGGGCGCACCAGGGACATGGACACGGCGTCGGGGAGTCGCGGAGCGCGGAAGTCCCCGGCGGGAACTTTGTAGCTGCGTTTAAAACTTGAGCAGAGGGCGTTACATCGGGGAGAATGGAAGAAGAGTGTCGGTAAGGGAGGGGTGTCTTAGTTCCTCCAAAAGTCTGTGAACTGCACGTTTTGGAGTGGACTGTTCTTCCAGTTTCGGAAGGACACGACTTTTGGGGGTTTGCGTGTGAGAGAGAAAGAATATGCAATCATGTCGACCTAGCTGGGAAGAGGAGCAGGAGAAAACAAAGAGTGAATAATCGTAATTTATAACTTTCCCTGCATAACAGACTCCAAATACAGCAGCTCCCTTCCCAAATACGGGGTGGGGCGTGTGCGTTTTGTGGATTGGGGAGATGGGAGAAAGACTTAAACAGAGCGTGAGGATTTGGGGGAATTTAATAATATTAATATTATGCTAGAAGTGCCCTTTCAAGTGTAGAATTTTGCTCACGACTGACTTAAGGCTGCGGTACCCTATACCCGCTGACCTGGGAGTAAGGCGCGTTGAATTCAATGGCAGTTCTGAGCAGAGATGTCGAGGATTACACAGCAATAAAATCTATTTAATTCGCGGGCCAAATTACAAGGGTTTTTGGTTGGTTGGTGTGTGTGTGTGTGTGTCTAATTCCCTCTTCTGCTTAGCAAACGAAGTTGATCAATAGCTCCACACCCTGCCCTCTTCCTTCCCATCCGCCCCAGCTAGACATGGGTTGGAGACAGATCCCACTTAAGTTAAGACGTGTCAAGAACAGCCTAGGCGTCTCTTGCTTGGCTCTGGATTTTGTCGGAGAGAGATGTAAAAAATTATAGAGTGAGGAAATGGGGGGACGGGGGACGGTTGCCAGAACTTGTTGCCATGTAATGTCGAAATAGAAAGACTACATTGAACATGTACAGAGTGCCTCTGAGCACAAAGAACAAACACAAGCTTCTGCCACGGGGAGGGTAAGAGAGCTCAGAGAGCAGTTTCCAGAGCTGATAGATGCATATTTGGTTGCACATTAACCTCTGACTGTGTGGGGGTGTGCCCCCTTCCATTCCCATCCTGTGGGTGCGCTTACCAGCAAGGTGAGGGGCAGCCATGTGTTAACAGGATCCCCTGCAAAGAATGGCAGGACCACAGCGGTCCAGAGAACCTCAAAACGGGCAAAAGTCTCCTGGTCACAAAGGCGTATGAACTAGCGGGGGTGTAGTGGTTAGCGTGGGAGAGACCTGGATATATGAAGTTCCACTTGGATATACAAAGTTCTCTGGGTGTGATCGTGGGGGGCCAGTCACCATCCTCTTAGCCCGACCTACTTCGCATGGCTGATGGGAATTGTAGTCCAGAACAGCTGGAGGGCGGCAGGATGGCCAAGGCTGGATTAATGGTTAATAATATAAAAGCTCAAAGAGAGAGAAGCAAAGAGGGAGCTGTCCATGGTAGCAGCCAGGATTCATCCAAAGCAGGGGAAGCTTTTCACGGAAACGCAGAACACAGGAAGCTGCCTTAACACCGAGTCAGAACGTTGCTCCATCTAGCTTAGTACTGCCTACACTGGCTGGCAGTGGCTCACCAGTGTTTTAGATCAGGGATCCCTTCTCCAAGCCCTGGCTGGGGACGCTGCCAGAATTTGAACCTGGGACCTTCTGCATGTAAAACTGACGCTTTACCACTGAGCTACGGCCCATCCCTTAAAAATGAATCAAGATGCTAGCCCTCACTGGTGCTGAATTAAGGGCATGTTTGAATAGGAACACAGGAAGCTGCCTTATTGGTCCATCTGGCTCAGGACACTGGCTGGCAGCAGCTCTCCAGGATTTTAGGCAGGGAGCCTTGCCCAGCCCTACCTGAGGATGCCATCGGCGATTGACACCTTCTGCATGCAAGGCAGATGGCCTGCCACTCAGCTCATGATAGGCAATGGGGAGAAGGGCTCTGTACAGGGCTTGTCCACAGATAAGACAGCAGGCTGAGTAGGACATGGAAAGAGGGGGTCGTGGCACATTTGAGCCCCGCATCCATACTAACCACATGAAAACACTTGTTTCTCAAGACCGGCAAGTAGGATCGATCTGGCAATAGCAATGCGGAGCCCCCAGGTTCAGATGAAGTCTATCTCAGGAGACCAAGAGATGATGAAGAATGCCATGGGGAGGGCATTTGCACTCCTGTCCTGCTCAGGGGCATCCCAGAGACACCCAGATGGCCAGACAGCAGGGTGGAGGTTGCTGGGCCTAGGTGGGCCTTAGGCTCCAGGAAGGCCTCTCCAGATGTTCTTACGAAGTAAGATAGTTAAGAATGGAGCCTCCATAGGCAGAATCAGCAGCAGGCCCTTTGAATATTTTATTTATTCATTAAATTTGTATGGCACCCTTAATCGGAAGACCGCAGGACAGCTCACAACATAAAAAATTACAAAATGAGAACACAAAATACATAATAAAACCAAGTTCAAAAACAACTCCCACAAACACATTTAAAGGGTCACAGAATGTTTAATTAGCCAAAGGCCTAGGAGAAAGTGAATGTTTTCTCCCGGCACCTAAAGATATGCAATGAAGGCGCCAGGCGAGCCTCCCTGGGGGGAGCATCCCACAAATGGGGAGCCACTGCAGAAAAGGCCCCGTTCTCATGTTTCTGCCCTCTCGTGAAGGAGAAACATGAAGAAGGGCCTCAGATGATGAACACAGAGTCTGGGACAGTTCGTATGGGGAGAGGCCGTCGTGAGCCATTAAAGGTTTAATAGGTCAAAACCAGCACTTCAAATTGGGCCTGAAAGCTAATTGGCAGCCACTGCAATTAGGCCAGGATCGGTGTAATATTCTCAAACTGTCTTGCACTGGTGAGCAACCTGGCTGCCAAATTGTGCACCAACCGATGTTTCTGAACCTTCTTCAGAAGCAGCCCTACATTTAACACTTTGCAGTAATCTAATTTAAAGGTTATCAGAGTACGACTGGGGGACAGACAACCGGGGAGGGTCACTGCCGTTTATGTCCTGCCCTCACACCTGGGAAGGGCTGTAGCACAGTGGTAGAGCATTTGCCTTGCATGCAAAAGGCCTTGGGTTCAATCCCAGGCATTTCCAGGTAGGCTTGGGAATGTCCCCTTCGCTGAAATCCTGGAGAGTTGCTGCCAGTCAGTGTAGACAATCTTTAGCTAGAAGGACCAAATGGTCTGTGTCAGAATAAGACAGCTTCCTGCATTATTATTATTATTATTATTATTATTATTATTATTTTAACCAGCCCTTTATTCAGAACCATGAGGACTAGGATCTTTAATTTTAGGGAGTCACAGCTCAGTGGTGGAATATCTGCCTTACATGCCAAAGGTCACAGGTTTAACCTCCAGGCAGAGGCTCGTCCTCTGAAACTCTGGAGATCGGTTGCTGCCAGTCAGTGTAGACAGAACTGAGCCAGATGGTCTGACTCAGCAGAAGGCTCCTTGTGAGTTTCCCAAATGCATCCTGCAAAGTAGAGGATGCTGGGTGGACCATCTTTGTTTAAGAGATTGTTTCTGCAGTTAAGATTTAGTTTTTGGAGATGCAATCTTGTTGCTGTTACCTGGATCATGCTGCTGCATTTCAGTGATCAGCAAATACGTTTTATTGCATATTCATGAATAGAAGTAGAAGTTCACATCAGCTTATTGCAGCCATTTAAAGTCTGTGGTGTCTTGTAACCGTGAGAGAACTGTGTAAACCTTTGGATGATGCAAACCGCCTTGAGCAGGGCTTACTAAGGATCAAATGTAAGAGGACGTTGAAGGCAGACCTTTGGTCTGCTCAAGCAGCCAGGCTCTTCCGAAGGATTATTGGAAGGCGGGTCAGCATTTCTGTCCCCTTTCAGGTTGAGAAAAGAGCCACTAAGAAGTATTTCCTGACTCCCTGTTATTTTGTTACAAGTCAGGAGCGTGTGATGTTTTTGCCACCTGTGCCCATTTGATTACCGAAAGCAGCCCCAGAGGACCATTACATACTCCACCGTTTTGCAAAGATAACTTTGATTCTCCGCCGCGGAAGCACACACAGAGGCTATCTCCCCGATTAGCAGCAACAGCAAAAACAGGCTTATAAACTGCAGTCATAACCCCGTTTACCTGGGAGTGAATCCATGAAAAATGTGTGTGTGTGTGTGTGTGTGTGTGTGTGTGTATCTTCTTCTTCTTCTTCTTCTTCTTCTTCTTCTTCTTCTTCTTCTTCGATCCCTCGTAGCCGAGTAAGATTGTCTTCCATAAACAAAGTTTTAACAATGAGTCTGTAAGTGGCTGTGGAGGCCAGTTCTGGATCCACATGTCCTTCCGCAGTGGGGACATTGGTTTCCGGGTGGCAGTTGATCCCAGTGTGGATTTGCCAAGTGTGGCTTCCTCTTAGCACATTTCTCCCTTGCGTCCTGAGTTCGAGCGTCTTCAAAGCCCATGACACCTTTGGTAAAGGCTGTTCTCCAACTGGAGCGCTCGCAGGCCAGTGTTTCCCAGTTGTCAGTGTTTATACTACATTTCTTTTAATACACACGCACTAGATATATATCTATATATATATATATATATATGCGCAACCCAGCTTTTCCCATGGTGAAGGTTTTTTTTTTTAATTGTGCACAGCTGTGGAAGTGGGTTCAGGTTGCAAGGGAGGGTTTAATGGGAAATCTAGAATCAAGGGTGGGGGAAGATTTAATAAAGGGGGGAAGTTGGCTAGCCAGGGGTTGACCTAGAAAGGTGTGTGTGAGTGAAAGCAGTGTAGACCTAAGTAAAAGCACCACACAGACATGCACATCGAAGGTTTCTCACTTGTAATGTAAACATGAGCCAGCTGTGTGCTACAGCAGCAAATAAAGCCAATACAATCCTAACCTGGAGATTTCGGGGATTGAACCAGGCAGGGACCTTCTGCATGCAAAGCAGATGCTCTATATGTACACCTTACCCATGTGGGAAGCTGCACAGGGGTCCTTTTTAAAGGTGTTACAGAAATATTATTATTTTAGAAATTTGTCTATGCATCCATACATGGACCTCAAGGCTGCTGGCTTGGAGAATTTACTTTCCAGTGCTAGATTTATTCATTTAGTTCATATATATATATATATATATACACACACACACACACACACACACACCACTTGGTGGTGGTGGTTGTTTTTATTAAAAAAAACCAACTCAAAGTGGTTTACAAAAAAAAGCTAAAACTATCAATACTGTAAGATGACCCAACAGCAAAAATTCAAAACTTCCAAAGATGTTAAAATAACAGTGGACTGAATACAGATCAAAACCCACATTAAACTTCTAAACAACCGGGCAGCCTTGCCTAAATAAGAATGTTTTTAGCAGGCGCTGAAAAGAGCTCAGTGAAGGCGCCTGCCTGATATCAAGAGGCAGGGAGTTCCAAAGGGTAGATGCTGCCACAGTAAGATGCCAAATTGGCAACCGGTGAAGATCTCTGAGCACAGATGTTCTGTGCTGACAAGGCCTCACTCTCGTCAGCAATCGTGGGGCAGCATCCTGCCCCAACTGCGGCTTCCGGGTCAAGCGCGAGAGAAGCCCCCTGTGTCCTCACACAGCATGAACCAGGGGGGTGAATGGCAGCGCACAGGTCTAAGACGGATCCAATTTTCTCTCCTCCCCTCCCTTCTTTTGACAGTCTAGGAACAGCTGCCAACAGGGAGATGTGGATGGCGCGCGGCGGTTGGGGCGGGTTGCCAGATTCCTCAGCATCATCTCCATCGTCCTGGGGACCCTCATCATCGTGGTTTGCACACTGAAGTTCACAGGTAGGTACCAACCCGTGTCCCACCCAATTCCTCCAGAGACACTCGCTCACAACCCTAAAGAGAGCTCAAACCAAGACGGCATGTTCAACACCAACACCATTATTCTTCCACCGCATGCAATTATTTTGACATCCGGCTGCTGTGTTTAGGCAACCGATTCAAGACGTTTCCCTATCAAAAGATCAACAAGGAGCCTAGGATTATAAAATACCATCATGTAGTGAGCACAAGACATACAGTCCTTCACATGTAACAGTACACAGGGCCTTCTCAGTAGTGGCAACCTCCCTTCAGATGTCAAGCAGACAAAGAACTACATAATTTTTAGAAGACATCTGAAGGCAGCTCTGTATTGGGAAGTTTTTAATGGCTGATGTTTTGATATATGCTGTAAGCCGCCCAGAGTGGCTGGGGAAACCCAGCCAGATGGGCGGGGTGGAAATAATAAAATGAATGAAAAGGAAAAAGCCTGGAATTTCAGGTGGCAGAGCATGAGGCTCTTAATCTCAGGGTTGTGGGTAAAAGATTCCTGCATTGCAGGGGGTTGGGCTAGATGACCCTCCGGGTCCCTTCCAGCTCTAAGATTCTATGATTCTAACGAAACGACGTGACTTCCAAGGACGGTCTTTGCAGGGCTCCCCTCCCCGCAGCTCCGGGCCAGATCAAAAAACTGTTCTTTGCTCCCTTCAAGGAAATTATTCTGCCTCACCTCTTTCAATTTTGGTGGCAGGGAAGGGGGGAAAAAGGAGAGCTTTGACAGCATATCCCAGACAAAAAACCCCCATGTTTCTGTCTGCAAGGAGTTTATAATGCAGAGCGGCTTAGTGGTAGTGCCTGAGCCAGTGCATTCAAATGGCGAAAAAGGAGATTGCAACTAAACTTTAGGAAGGAGATTCTGAGAGGAAGAGCCATTCAATCGTGGAATGGTCTCCCTCGGACGGTGGTGGACCCTCTTTCTCTAAAGGTTTTCTAAAAATAATTTTAAATGTAATTTATATACAACAATTATTCAACCATCATTTTAACACCTCCAACTTCCACTCCTTTCCACCTTTCTGCGGTTCTTTACATTCATTTTCGTCCTTTCCTGCATACTCATTCTTTTAATCAACTATTCTCACATATATATCATATATATTTTTGAAACTGCAGGTTTTTACAATAATCCTGCCAATGGCTTCACCTGTTTACAGTTTATTTGCAAATACTCAATAAACCATTTCCATTCCTTTCTAAAAAGTTTGTTATACTGATTTCTTATTCTCCCTGTAAGTTTTGCCATTTCTGCGTACTCCATTAGTTTCTGTAACCATTCTCTTTTGTTGGGACCTCTTCTTACAATTCTTCTTCTTACAATTTTGAGCAAATAACATTCTCGCAGCTGTGGTCGCACGCAAAAACTAACCTCTATACTGTTGGTAGTTCTGATCCCATAATTCCCAAGAGAAAAGCTTCTGGGTTGGAGTTTTTTTTAACAAATGTTATCTGAAATATCTTTTTCAATTCATTATATATCACTTCCCCGTAAGCTTTAACCTTATTGCAAGACCACCACATATGGGGAAAGCTAACTTCTTTCTCTTTACATTTCCAATACTTATTCGATTTTGAATTAGACATTTTTGCCAATCTACTAGGTGTTATAACATGTTCCTATAACTTTCTCTTAAACCAGAAGATGCTGTCAGTTTTATGCTCATATTCCACAGTCATTCCCATGCTTCCATTTCTATGTTATGACCAATATCTATTGCCCCTCTTCCACTAAAGCTTTTAAAGCAGAGGTTGGCTGGCCATCTGTCGGGGATTATTTAGCTGAGATGCCTGCATTGCAAATAAAATTGTAACAGGAACACACCTGTCTTGTGCTTGTAAAAACTGCCTGAACAAAACTACCCTCTTTCTCTCTCTTTCTCTCTCCTCACCTCCAGGTTACCTGCAATCAAATTAGCATGAGCAAAGCTTGAGGGGAAAAGGGGTGGTCCTTCGACCCACATATTTATTTGTGTTTTCGAGTGGCCGTAGGATGCTTCCCATTTCCGCTCGGTTGCAAAAGGAAGGACTTTCTCAGTGGGAGAAAAACATGGGCATCCTCCACAGCCCAACCCTATCCTGCTCCCATCCTTGGACAGAATTACAGCATGCCCATCTTCACCATTAGCCTTTCGGATCACAAAAAAAGTTTATTTCCAGGGGACGAACAAAACGTACAATCCGGTGAACAGGACTCGGCAGGAGGGGAAGAATGAAGATCCCTTCCTGCCTGGCACAGGAACTCTCTACCTCGTCATCTGCCACACAGAGAGAAAGACACGGATGGGCACGGAGAACCGTCAAGAGGAGACGCATTTCTCCCAAAGCAAAACTCTCCTTGATCTCCCGCTTCCCCCCACGCCAGCGGCAGTGAACTGGGGTTTGTACAGCTGGATGCTTTGCCTCTCCGTGGTGGTTGGGCAGAAATCACTCCTATTGCCGTGCAGAGAAAATTGAGAAGGAAAATCCACCGAGCCGCCCAGCCCATTCCAAATACTGCTTCTCCTCTGCAGGGATGGTTCTGGAGCAGGGATCAAGGGAAGGTGTGGGCGTCGAGAGGGAATTCTGTTTTGTATATTTTTGATGACCATTTGCATGCCTGTACATAGGAATAGGAGAAACTCATAGCTGAGCCTTGTCTCACTGCCCAGGCGCCATCCTTGTGCTTGCTTGGTCCTGCGCGACGCATGATGGGTTGTTTTGTGGGGTGTTTTTTTTCCTTTTTGCAAGAGAGGCCCACGCTGGAGAATTAGTGGCGGTCCGCTGCCTCTCTCCGCGACCCAAGGACGTTTCATCCCTGGGGCGGCTGAGGGAAAAGGGCCCCACTTCTGCGTCTCCCAACAGCTCGATCCGGCACCCGTCAGGGCTGGGATGCGAAAAGGGATCATTCCACATCCCTTCGTTAAAATAAATTATAAACCTGTTTAAAAATAATATGCAGGACAAGCAGATACAACGAAGAGAGGCAGTTCCAGCCTCTGAGGGCAGCACCAGTTCTCCCAATGGGAAAGTGGGTGTAGAAAACCCTTTTCTCCCTCTCTCACAACACTAGAATACAGGGACACCCAGTGACACTGAACAATGGAAGTTTCAGGCCACATAAAAAGAAGTACAGGTGACTCTCAAGTAACGCTGGGGTTACGTTTTGGGGGTCACACGTAAAGCCAAAATCGTTTATAGTCAAAACACATTGGGTTCAATGGCGGGCGGGATTGCCAAAGTCCTTTTTCACACAACTCTGCCGCCTTTTTAATTACCATATTTTCTGCTCTATAAGACTCACTTTTTCCCTCCTAAAAAGTAAGGGGAAATGTGTGTGCGTCTTATGGAGCGAATGCAGGCTGCGCAGCTATGCCAGAAGCCAGAACAGCAAGAGGGATTGCTGCTTTCACTGCGCAGCAATCCCTCTTGCTGTTCTGGCTTCTGAGATTCAGAATTCTTGTTTTCCTCCTCCAAAAACTAGGTGCGTCTTGTGGTCTGGTGCGTCTTATAGAGCGAAAAATATGGCAATTGATTGCCAAGCGAATAAAGCTGAATGCACACAAATGTGTGCAAGCTGCGAGGTACCTGTACTTATTTAGGCTCTTGTGCTCAGGTTCTGCTTGTGGGTTTCCCATAATAGGCATCTGGTTGATGCCTGTGGGAACAGGACACAGGACTAGATGTGCCCTTGGTCTGATCCAGCAGAGCTTTCCTTAACGTTTTTATGGCCAAGGGACAGAAGGCAGATTCCTCTTTAAATCAACCTTTTTTTCCAGAACCATGAGGACTAGGATCTTAGGGAAATGGCCACAGGGCATCTGCTTGGCATGCAGAAGGTTCCAGCTTCAATCCCTGCAATCTCCAAGTAGGATGGAGGGAAACTCCTGCCTGAATCCATGGAGAGCTGCTGCCAGTCAGGGGTGGGAGGACTTTTCTGGCCAAAGGGCAACCTTCTGGAAGCTGCATGGCAGGAAAGGGTTAGGCTAAAGGTAAAGGAAAATGAACACAGCGATGGATAGAATCATATAATTGTAGAGTTGTAGCGTCCACATGAGGACTGAGCTAAGATACAGCAATGAACTGGCTTGGTAGAAGGCCATTTCCTGTGTTCTGGGATGTTTTGGGGAAGTTCTGTTCATTCCTGCTGTAAACATCTGGACTCCACACATTCCATAGAATCAATTATCAGAATATTTGGAGATTTGTTAATCCACTGGCCTAGCAATGGAGTCAGCATTTACTTTTCACTGGGGATTGGGAGGCCTGATCCTTCGCGAGAGATCATGCAAGGAAGCAGCATTCACACATCCATCCCAGGGAGAAAAGAAAAGAAATTGAGGCAGCCAAACTGTCTCTATCTTCTCATTTCTACAGACTCTAGGTTGGTGTTTGGGAATTCTGGGGGGGTCTCCTTTATTTTTGGATGAAAATATCTCTGTCTTCCATTTCTTCCTTTTCTGCAAGAGATTGTATCGTATTTTTGTCTTTATACTTCTTGGCATGATGACAAATAAACAGAAAAGTTACCATGCATGGTCAAAACCTGGGCTGGACTCAAGTCTGTTGAAACAGTCCCTTCCAGATCGTGAAGCGGGAGGTACGAGTTAAATAAAAGCCCTTGCCAGAGGTCTCATAAAAATGAAATATCCATTGCTTGCTGCACCCGGCCTGATTTTCTACTCCTGACTGCTGAGGTGCTGTGGAATTCAGGACTTCGTAAGAGGCTGCCTGCTGTCTCTCTCCAGGAGTCTCCGCTCTGAGTCAGGCAATACACCTGTGTTGACCCCAGCCCCGTGTGTTTCAGAGGTGAGCCCCTCAGGGGATGGCCATCCCTGCTCTAACCAACACGACTGGGGAGGTTTAACTGCAGGTGCAATTCAGGAAAATAATAATAAGCAGGTCTTGCCTATCTGAAGTTTGGGGAAGAGCAATCTGGTTAAAGCGACGTTGCAGCTGCAAAGAAACCCTGTAAACTGCAGCCCTTAAAAATGCTTCTTTGCCTGAGCAGCTTCTCTCCTCCAATGGGTGCGCCTTGTGGAAACATGTCGGCATCTCAGTGCAAACCTCTCCCCAAATAATAACAATAATAACAATAATAAATTATTTATACCCCGCCCATCTGGCTGAATTTCCCCAGCCACTCTGGGCGGCTCCCAATCGAGTGTTAAAAACTATACAGCATTACATATTACAAACTTCCCTAAACAGAGCTGCCTTCAGATGTCTTTTAAAATAGGATAGCTGCTTATTACCTTCACATTTGAAGGGAGGGCGTTCCACAGGGCGGGTGCCACCACCAAGAAGGCCCTCTGCCTGGTTCCCTGTAACTTGGCTTCTCGCAGCGAGGGAACCGCCAGAAGGCCCTCGGCGCTGGACCTCAGTGTCTGGGCAGAACGATGGGGGTGGAGATGCTCCTTCAGGTATACAGGACCGAGGCTGTTTAGGGCTCATTTGTACTCATTTATAAAATATACTCATTTTTGCCAGTAATAGATACACACAACATAGTGCATCCTTATGTGTCACATGCACTTTTGCACACACTTCCCGCCAGCACACAAATCTTGGCGGGCCTTCTCCAGCTGAAGAACTGCACCCCAAAATTAACACCAGTTCAAATTCCAAAGGATCACTGTGTTTACGTTTCCCACACTGTTTTGGAAACTGCAAAATTGGCAGGTTTGAATTGAATTCAACTTCAACTGAATTTCTCCCCCAATTGTTGTTCTCTCTGACATCTGGTGGGAGGGCGTTCCACAGGGCGGGCGCCACCACCGAGAAGGCCCTCTGCCTGGTTCCCTGTAACTTGGCTTCTTGCAGGGAGGGAACCACCAGAAGGCCCTCGGCGCTGGACCTCAGCGTCCGGGCAGAACGATGGGGGTGGAGACGCTCCTTCAGGTATACTGGGCTGAGGCTGCTTAGGGCTTTAAAGGTCAGCACCAACACTTTGAATTGTGCTCGGAAACATACTGGGAGCCAGTGTAGGTCTTTCAAGACTTGTGTTATGTGGTCTTGGCGGCTGCTCCCAGTCACCAGTCTAGCTGCTGCATTCTGGATTAGTTGTAGTCCTTCTACATGCAGTGCATAAACTATGGAACTCCCTCCCACAGGAGACTATGATGCCACCAACTTGGATGGTTTTAAAAGATGAATTCGCAGAGGATAATGTTATTATGACTCTGATGGCCATGTCTCCACAGTTGCTTTTGCATCCCAGTCCCTGGAAACCACAGCAGGGAAGAGGGCTCTTGCGCTTGGGCCCTGCTTGAGGGTTTCCCTCCATGAGGCATCCAGCTGGCCACTGTGAGACCAGGATGTTGGGCCTGATCCAGCAGGCTCTCCTTATCCTTATGGTCTTCACGTTAACCAGCCTGGCTGATGCGCAAATGGGATGCTGGGAGTCTTCAGTCCAGCAAGATCTGGAGGGCTGCAGGTTCCCCGACACAGATAAGCAGAAAGACAAGACTTTCAGAGCTGGAAGCTGAATTCAGCTACCAAAATGGAAGCAGCAACTTTGTCCGGAATGAGTTGCGAGCTGCTGGGATTTGGACTGCAGGGGTCTACAGCCAGCAGCGACAGAATGGATCCAAACTACAAGAAAGAAGATTCCACCTAAACATTAGGAAGAACTTCCTGACAGTAAGAGCTGTTCGACAGTGGAATTTGCTGCCAAGGAGTGTGGTGGAGTCTCCTTCTTTGGAGGTCTTTAAGCAGAGGCTTGACAACCATATGTCAGGAGTGCTCTGATGGTGTTTCCTGCTTGGCAGGGGGTTGGACTCGATGGCCCTTGTGGTCTCTTCCAACTCTATGATTCTATGATTCTATGAATCCCGCTTTGCAGCAACGCCCGCCACCACCTCCCCAAAAGCAGGTTCCCTCCGGAGGCGTTTTCTTCCCCCGAGTGGATCTGCTGCAACTCTCTTCCCATCCGGCTCTCCCTGCCAAATGGAAGTGAGTTCACGGCAACAGCCAAGCTTGCATTATCGCAGCAAAGCAAATTAAAAATAAAATAAAACACAACCCGCCTTTCCCCCCTCGTCATCATCTCCCTGGCTGTAAGCCAGTTTACACAATCAGCAGAATTGATCTGTAAAGTGTGGGAGGAGGGGAGAGGGGAGGCTGAGAGCATCTGTTCCGCTTGCAGAAAGCGCCAGGTTCAACCCACCCCTGTGACATATCTCCAGATGTGGCCAGGAATGTCTCCTGCATGAAACCCCGAGAGTTGCTGCTGCTACTGCCGGTAAGTGTGGAAAACACTGAGCTGTCTGGATCACAGGTTGGAATCTGTATAAGGCATATGCTTGCATTTCAACCCTTTGTTCAGAGCCATGAGGACTAACATCTTGGTTTATTGTAAGGGGAGCAACCACAGCTGTTTGGTACAGC